AATGCATGAGTGGCATTTAGAAAAAAGTTTTGAAGATGTGAACATATTCAAGGCATTAACAAAGAGTCTGCTGTTGATAACAGAGTAAGTGATAGTGCTTATGAAACAACTATAATTTGACACTAGTGAAGAGGAAATTCATGGGCCTGTTGGCATTAAGTTGAAGAAATTTCCAATGAGCAACTGATCAAACTAAAAATGAAAGAAAGAAAAAACTAAAAATCCCAAGTCAGAGGAATAAGTGATACTTGAGTTATACCAAGAAATTCCACAGCAAAGAAACTGATGAAGTAGATAGAAACTAAGGCATTTGCTACTATCCTTAGTATTGTACAAATGTTAAATGAAAATCAATTACAAGAGATTCACAAGAGTTGACAGATTCAGGATGCTCTTGCTTACTATAAAGAAATACATAATGAAAAAAAGAAACAAACTGTTAAGTCAAAACTTGCTGTCTTTTTAAAGAACATCATGCCTGCTAAACCATCAACAAGTGGCAGTGCCCAGTACCTTCTACCTTCTATTCTCAAGCCTCCTCAGGAGACAACTGGATGACCCTGCTGTTTGTAGCGTCCCCATTATCCAGCAACTAATTTAGTTAAATGCTTCAAACATCCTTCAATACAGTGTGCTTTCAGTAGTTAAGGATAAGTGCTCATACAACCATTCTGGTTTTGTTTTATTTTCAGTATTTAACAAATTACAAGAGATATTCAACACATTCAGCGTTATAAAGCAAACTTTGTGTTAGATGTGTTAAACTTTGCCCAACTGAAGACTAATGTAAAGGTTCTGAGCACATTTAAAGCTCACTGGATTAAGTGTATCAAATGCATTTTCAATTTATGATGGATTTTTCAGCATATAACTCCACTGTAAGGACCATCTGTAAATAAAAATAATTTCATTTTCATAGATTGGAAGACATTAAGATCCCAATGCTTTCGAAAGTGTCTTTATGATGTGTGATCAACAATATAGTGAATGCTGCTACTGAGAGCCATCCAAAGGAAAGGCAGGCTTGTGAAGATACTAGGGTACCTTCTCATCCACCTTATTCACCAGATCTGGCACTATTCAACTTGTGCCTCTTTCCTGAGATCAAAATGACCATGAAAAGCAAATATTTTGAACTGATTCAGGATGTCAAGGCAGCCATGACAGTGCAGCTAAAGATACTCACAAAAGAGGACTTCCAAAACTGCTTTGGAAAGTGGCAAGAACAATGGGATATACATGTTCACAATGAGAGGAATTAAAGAGAATATGTCATTTACTGTAATTTTTTAACTTACACATTCACCATATTTTTCAACATATTTAAAAGTGCTAGCCAGGTGTGGTGGCACACACCTGTAATCCAAGCACTCAGGGGGCTGAGGCAGGAGGATCACCATGAGTTCGAGGGCAGCCTGGGCTACATACTGAGTCCAAGCCCAGCCTGAACTATTAGTGAGACCTCACCTCAAGGAAAAGTGCTAATAGAAATGATAGCTTTTCTTTCACTGAAATACGAATGCTAGGAAGGTCACTGCCTTCTTGATATGAAGATTCCCAAGAAATCTGATTAGTAAAGTCATTTGGTGTGCACAGACTGAGAGCAAAGGTACAGTACAGTCAGCCCTCCTTGTCCATGGGTTCTACATCTATAGGATCCACGTCCATGGATTCAACCAATCGCAACGTGGAAAATATTCAGGAAAAAGAATATGTCTGTACACCTGTACTCTTTCTTGTCGTTCCCTAAACAATAGAGTATTACAACTATTTTATAGCATTTACATTATATCAAATATTATATGTTAGCTTCCTGTCACCATAACAAACAGTTGAGAGTCAACTTATAAAGAGAATAGGTTTATTTTGGCTTATAGTTTTGGAGATTTCAGTCCATGATTGGTTGGCCCTGTTGCTTTTTGCCCTACAGCAAGGCAGTACATCATATCAGGGAGTGGCATAGTGGAGCAATATCACCTACCTCATGCCTCAGAAGCAAAAGAGAAAGAAGGAGAGCTAGCGGTTCTACTATTTCCTTCAAAGGCACAAACCTAATGACCTTCCACACCCCCCCCCTTAAAATTTCCATCACCGCCCAATAGCACTATGTAGGAGAGCAAGCCTTTATCATGTACAGTAAAACCTTAGATTGCAAGAAACTTGTCCTGTGAGTGTTCTGCAAGATGAACATTTCTAATAAAATTTAACTTGGTAAATGAGCAGTGTCTTGCAACATGAGTAGTATGTGATGCCAAACCTCACATGATCACAACTGAGCTAACGGTACCCCCCCAACCCTTCAGAATTGTGGGTGATAATCTCTCAACAACAAGAGGTTGAGGAGGAGATCTCATCTGCGGAGGAGAGAAAGGCAGAAGAATCCCTCACTGCAAATGAGATTAGAGAGATGTGTAGAATGTGGGACACAATGCAAAATTTTGTAGAAAAGCACTACTCTAATAAGGCTGTAGCAGTTCAAACAATGAATAATCTGTTAATGACAATGCAATGCCATATTTCTGCAAAATCCCCCAAAAAAGACAAAAGTGTCATTGGATAGGTTCCTCATTAAAACTGCATGAAAAGAAAAAGATTCCTTTAAGCCTATAGATACTAGTGATTTCATTAGTGATAGTGAAAGTTGCCCTACATAATAATCTTCTTTCTCCTCTCCCTCACACCAGTCATGAAGGTTTGCAAAGATAAGTGCAAGTTAATTTGTTTATTTTTCTTTATATTCTGTATTACATTACAATATTGTAATCATTCTATATGAATATTTTGGGAATGAATCATCTGAGTTTCCGTTATTTCTTATGGGGAAACTCGCTTTGATATACAAGTACTTTGGATTACAAGCATGTTTCCAGAATGAATTATGCTCACAAACCAAGGCTTTGTAAATCTTTGGGGCCACCTAAGGTCCAAACTATATTAATAAATGTTGTAGATATGATTTTAAAGTATATAAGAGGATATGCCTAGGTTATGTGCAAATACTATATCACTTTATACAAGGGACTTGAGCATCCATAGATTTTGGTTCCGACAGGGGACCACTAAGCCATATGATATAGAACTTCTTTTCCTTGACATTCTGAAAAAAGCTTATTCCTCTTACAGTGGATGTGTCATTGGATGGTTTCCTTGTTAAAGGAACAACTCATTGGATATGTTCCTCATATAGAAGATAGTATCCTCTTGCCTGGATACTAAGGGCTGACAGAATATGGTCATAAGGAATAAGTTCCCATTTTGGAAAACCATTTTTGGTGCTTAAACAATAAAAAATGACAGTCTACTGTGGCATATCAAATGAATAAGCACTATAAAGTTAAAGTCTTCAACATCGTCTGTCAATCTAAAAAAATTCATATTATAGAAATATGGAATGGTGGGGTCTTGAGGAATCCAATAAGGACACTGTTTTATGGGTTAAAGTTTTAAATGAGAAAAAGTGAGTATCTTTGGAATACTTGAGCAAAAAATATAGTGTTTTAGGAGACAGGAATTCTTTTAATAAAGAACAGGCATTCCAGAAGAGCAATTCCATTGCTTTTCACACTTAATACTTTGTTGTCAGAGCCAGAAATAATGTAAGAGGAATAAGCTGTATTTCAGAATGTCAAGGAAAAGAGGTTATATGTCACATGGCTCAGTGGTAGACAAAACTATTTTTGTCTCAAAATTGAACATACCTTCTCTTTTTCTCATCACTTCCTGTTTCTCTTTCATCATTCTACTTTCTCTCTGGTTCTCTTTCATCCTTTTGCCTTATTCTCTTTTTTTCACTTCTAGGCCAAGTTTCTCAATGTTGGTTTTCTAATTGATTCCCCTCAGAAACCATTTTAGATACTTTCTTCCTAATATTCTCCCCCTTCATGTGCTTATGAAATCTTAAACCACAGATATATCATGTATCTGTTTCTGTACTGTGGTCCTTTGGAGGACCACAAGGCATTGTGATAGCTAAAGGTTTTTTCCCCTCAAAACCAGTTTTTGCCCCCTTGGGAGTAATACATACCCCTTGAAAATGCATGCTTCAGATAATGAGTTCTTGGTCTTTCTGGCTATAATAGGCACATGGTAGGCAATCGATGCATATATTAGATAAATATTTATGCAATTAAAAATTTTAAAAATGATCACAGTTGCATGTGTACTTATCAAGGAAACAACTAAAATGATTAATTCTTTCTTAGTACTATCTACTACTGACTATTCCACAGTACTTCCACTTTCAAAGAATGTCTTTTGGGACATTATCTGTGTGACCTGATGGAAACTTGGAAAGTACTCTAATCATAAAAACAATATGTTCACAGCAAATTCCAAGGGTAGGTTATTTGTACAGATGGCTATTTTTATTTATTATATACTGATTTCATTTTCTAGCTTCACTTTCAGAACATGATCACTTCTTGATTTTTTTCTAAATTCTGAGGCTATATGGTCTCTTTGATACTTACAATCCACTGTTCAAACTTATCAGTTTCAGTACAAGAATTAGATTAGAGGATGAATAGATCGGGGGGGAGAACATCAAACTTCTGTTTGCCACTTGGTTTATCTCCTCAAGTGCCATATGCTCTGAGTGCTTCTCAATAGAAACATTTTATTTCCTTTCTTTTTTTCTTTTTTTTTCTTTTGGTACCAGGGATCAAACTTGGGACCTTGTGCTTGGGAGGCAGGCGCCAAAACCACTGAGCTAAATCCCCAGCTCAATAGAAACATTTTAGAAATCTTTGTAGATACTATTAGTTGCCACAAGATTGGAGCAGTGCTATCAACATTTAAAGGAGACTCTAGGAATGCTAGACATCTTGCAATTTGTAGGACTTTCATAATGCAAGAAGCAGACCAGACAGAATTAGACATGTAAAATATCAATGGGAGACATGGCCGTTGAAATAGAGGGGAGGGGAAGCAGTAGGCAGGGAGAACCTTCAGATTGTGATGCAGACCCAACACCTAGGTGATGAGAAGAGGAAGGAGGATTCAGTTGGAAGAGTCCTCAGCTGCAGTACAACTCTAAGAATGGCTTGGCCAGGTCAATAAAGGCCCCCTTTTAAGGAGGTCCCAGTTTGGACAGACATGGCCTGCTCTTGTGCCACTGCTGTGCTCAGCCACTGGTGGGAAGCAGTCGAGAAAAGGTAAGGCAGTAGCATAAACATTGTGGTGAACCCTCAAGGTACAGCTCTGGGAGACTCACCTAACTATAGTCTTCACAGGAGGTTCTCTTTCTCTCAAGGTGACTATTTTGATGTTTTCCCTTTCCATCTTTTTCTTTCTTTCTTTTCTTTTTTTTTTTTTTTTTTTGTACCAGGGATCGAACTCGGGTCTTTGTGCTTGTGCAGCAGGCAGCAAAACCACTGAGGTAAATCCCCGGCCCATCTTTTTCTTTTCTAACCAGGTTAAAGTTGGATAAAGTATAAGAAGTTTTGGAAAATGAGGCTTGAGAGTTGAGATCCAGCACAGACAACAAAATGAGGTGAACATCCTAGGCTGGATGAGTATTTGCATTTTTATTCAGCTGCGGATGTCCTTCCATAGTTACAGTTAATATCAAGAAGTTGCCAAATGGACCACCTAAGATCCATGTACATTTCCCACCACCCATTGTATAAAAGCAGCCCCTTTTCTTCCTATTGATCTAGGTCAATTACACCTGCCAAGATGGGGATTCCTCTTCTGTGATGGTGCTTGGACACAAAGAGTCCAAAATGCCCAAACAGAAACCACTTTTCCCCTGAGGATAAAAAATGCCTCCTTTTTGAGATCAGAACTTCTAAACCTTTAAAGCCCAGAGTTGTGAGACTAGAAAACACAAAGTGAGTCAGTAGAAGTGATGTTAAGTGGGGCCACTTCTTTCTCTGCTTTGTTCCTGGATCCATATATTCTTCTTATAAGAGACAATACCTTTAAAGTTTTCTGGTTTAGTGTATATACTGCATCCCAAAGAATGCCATTTCATCCCTGCACAATATTGCCTCTGAACTAACACTTAAGAGCATCTTCAGGTTGCCCACTGCTGAATCAGGCTGGCTGTTCTGGATCATGTATCCTATAGATCCCTTGGTCATGAGTTCACATTCACCCTACCTTTACTATGAAATGAATCCCGTTTGGATTCTGTGGTGGATTAGGCCTTCTTGAAGCCCTGCATGATGGTATAACCTGAGGCCCTGCAGGCAAGAAAGACAAACCAATGTCAGCAGGAAGTATCGGGATGAACTGCCGGCCACCCTAGAAGGGAAAGGGCCTGTGTTGTTCTCCTGCCACTTGATTTATCTCCTCAAGTAATAGTGCTGTATCAGAGGATGCAGCGTTGGCCTCAGTTGCTAATAAATTACCTTCAGGGATAAGAAGTAACTGTAGACTGGTGTTGGAAAGTGGGAATTCATACCACTTGGCTCACATATAGCCTCCATCTCCACAAACAGCCATTCCATTCATATGCCACTGAGCCAGTTGGAAAGTGGATTGTGACAAAGCCATACTAATTGATGTGGTTAACATCAACCAGTAGACTCTTTTTGTCTATTTGATTTTTCAGTTTGTTTTTCATGGTGTACTTTGTTGTCATGGATGACATATGATACACAAATCTTCACTCTTTGTGCCTACTGTCATAAGTCTAGCTACATACCTCTATTCCAGACCTCTTTCTCTCCAATCTTCCAAGTCTTATCTTTCAGAATTCTCATCACTTCTCCTTCCACATAAAGTTAATCGTCCATTATACAGCTTGAAACTTTGAACATTAGGAAGATTTTCCCTCTCTGGTTTCTTTTAGGGCCACCAAGCCAACCAACTTAAAAATCAAGCTTGAGATTTTTTTCCTTCTCCTCCTCCGTGGCCAGTGCGGCCTCACAAAGGGGAGATGGTGCAACCTTCCTGCCTTTAGTAGAGCCTAGCACCATACCATGGCCCATTTCTTAAAAGAAGTAAAATCTTCTGCAGCAGATGGCATGGCCTTGGTCCAGAACCCCAGAGGCCTATATTGTGATCTCCTCTTGAGACTTGATCTAAACTCTACACTGGCTGTTATAGGCCTTTTGCTGCTCCAGGCTGCATTTGAAGCAGGCAGCCTTCCATATCTTCCAGGATATGAGCTAAAGTAGTATTCTTACATATGGAATTTCTTGCTTCCAGAACCCCAAGAGGCCTGCCAGGCATTGTGCTCCATTATAGTAGGAGAAGCAATACACCAAAATTTGTGTTTTACTCTACAGGGGATGTCTCCATATGCCACTACTGACTACTAAACCTCTGAAATTTTTATACAAGTATCAGATTCTTAGATCTTCCTGGAGTTAGTTTATCTTCTACCCTCTGGATGTATGTGTCTTACCACCCCTGGTACACAAGCCTCCTCTTTTTTACTCTGCCCAACCAGTATGTAATTAATGTAACATGCCAATGTATGTTCTGCAGACAGTTCAGATCTCTTCAGACTATATTACAATAGAGGGTGAAAGAGTTTACAAAGTCCTTGGACAAAACTGAAAATAAATATCATCTCCACATTAATGTAAAATACTTACTCTCATTTCTAATTGAAATATAAAAGAATTTACATCCACAAACCATGTGCTAAGCCTCACTAATCTGTCCTAGTAAGGCCAGCAAGTCCAGCTGGGACTACTGCTTGGTTAAGCGTGCTGTGGTAGCCTGCACTCACTCTCTAGGACCCAGAGTAGTACTAATTACCATCTGCCGTGGGACATGATATATTGTTTTATATTTTCTGTCTTGGCTGGCATGGGAGATAATTTCAAAGGCTTCCAATTGGTCCTTCTCCCTAGGATGCCTCTTATCTAACAGCCTGAGTACTCAATACTTCAACTGCCAAAGACGTTTATTATAATTATATACTCAGGGATCGGCAAGTGATCTGCAGACCCAGTGAATTCATTGTAAGCCAGACTTTACTTGTGTCCTTATTACCTCTTCTGTAAGCCCCAACTCTAGCACTGAGGCCATGAGGGTATTTTGAGTCTTTAGTTGTCAAAGTTGACTCAGACTCTAGATCTAAAGCTCCTTAAAATGATTATTTCCTTTCTCCGGTCTCAATAGCCTGTCTAAGTAAGTGTCCTAGGTCCTTTTGGAAGTTACTGGAAGGATCAATGTAATATATACTTGTCTCAATGGGCTAATGGGAAACTTTTATACTGGATGATCATGCTGTCAATACTTGAACCCACTAATCATCCTTCACTGCAGAAATACTGAAGTGTTTTCTGCTGTGATAAAATGGGAAGGGAATAACACCACCTGTAAAATATTCCTGCCCTCCCCTCAAATCAAAGGATGTAGGTCTAACAAATTACAATAAATACTGTATAAAGTAAAAAGGAACATGACAAAATTGGCAAAATCCTGCATGTGGGAAATTATGTGACAAATGACCCAGTTTGTTCAGAATCTAATTGACAAGAAATTTTTTAAAAATCACTGGTGAGGCCCGGGGATTTAGCTCACTGGCATCGCACCTGCCTTGCAAGTGCAAGGTCCTGAGTTCGATCCCCAGTACCAAAAAAAAGAATCATTGGTGATGAAAAGAAAGTTAAGAGACACATCAATTTAATGCAGTGTATAGACAGTGTTTAAACTGACTCAAACAAATCAACTATTTAAAAAAATTATGAAATGTTTGCCTAGCATGTTCAGGGCCCTAAGTTTAATCCCCAGCATGGGAAAAAATTATGAAAATCAGAGAAAATTTTAAATTCTGGATGTTTGATATTAAGGAATTATAGTTAAACTTTTCTTAGGTGACAGTGATATGTGGTTATATTTTTTAATTAAAATAATTATAGATGAAATAATTTAGCTGAGTGCTATCTGGGATTTCTTTTATAGTCTGAGAAGATGGAAATGTTCTATATACATCAGTGGTTTTTCAGCCTTTAGCCAACCTACAGATCAGCTGGAGAGATTATTAAAACACAGATTCTGGGATTTACTTCAGAGATTCTATTCAGTTGCCCATGGTAAAACTAATGAATGTACATTTCCAATAATATTCAAGAGGACACAATCTTGCTGGTCCAGAGACCACATCTTAAGCAGTATTGGTAATAGTGAAAAAAATTGGCTACTGATAATTATTGAGGCTTGGTACCGAGGAAGCATGTCATCCATTATACTATTATCTCTATTTTGGTATATGTTTGAAATGTTTTATAATAAAATTAATATGCACAAATGGCAGAGTGGTGAGCAACAACAACTCAGCTTCTCTAAGATTCAGAATCCAGATACTGGAAAATAACAACTTGAGGAAGAAAACAAGGAGGGAAGTGGATCCCTGGGACCCAGGAAGGATCTGATAGGGAAACTGAAGCCCATAGAGAAATTGAAGAGGCAGAACACAACACAGAAAAAGGAAGAGGCAAATTTGCGCTTTCTCTCCGGCCCTTGGCTCATGCATGGTTCATGAGAAATGAAGACTGAATCCATGGAGACATAGAGAATATGGGGGTCTGCAGAGGCCTTCAGGGAGAAGTCCACTGCGTGGACAAAATCTTAAAAGCTGTTTGAGAAAGGCAATGAATCACATATAAAGGCAAACCCATTAGAACTACAGCAGACTTCTGTATACAAACATTAAAATCCAGGGGGGCCTGGAGTGAAGTGTTTCAAGTCCTAAAAGATAACAACTTCCAACCCTGATTTACGTATCCTACAAAACTCCTTTAAAATTGCTGGAGAAGTGAGATACAGTGGTACCTTGGTTCACAAACTTAATTCTTTCCATAATTCTGATCGCAAGCCAAATTGGGCAAGAACCAAATCAAATTCAGTGGTTAGGTTCAATGCTGACCTTATGGGGAAATTTGATTCAGTTCTTATCCAATTCTGTTTGCAATCAGAAATGTGGAAGGAATTAAGTTTGTGAACCGAGGTACCACTGTAGTTCCATGACAAGGAACAAGAAATACATGACCACCAAACCAGCATTACAAAAAAAATTCTCAAAGGGATCTTAGAGAAATGAAGCTAATAATGCCAATAAATTTAAAAAATGAATACACATGGTAGGATGAGCAGCTAAGCAAAAGGAAAAAAAAAAAAGGAAATCAGAAACAGGAAAAGAATGCAATGTCAGGAATAAGTCAGTACCTCTCTGTAACAATTCTGAATATGA